ACGCTGCCACAAATATGTCGGCTCAATTGGAGGAAGGCCACATTAACACGGCCAACGTGAAATAACACAATAATAATTCTGTGTTGTACGGTGAGTGACGCGGATTTCAATGCATTCTTTTTACTTATTATAAGCCTGTGACTAAATTTCCACCTGGTGGTAAGTGTTGATATAAGCCTTGCTTAACAAATCCTATTATTACCTCAAATACGCCAAGATTGTTATCTGAAGAAAAAAAACCCAGCTGATTATTCCACTCTTTGCTGAAAACGTTAGGAACGACGAATCAAACCGTTTGATTCATGAGTCTATCTGTCTATATTTAGGTTCTTAACTGAGTATTGATGAATGTATATATAGGCCGTACGCTAATATAATTCATCTGTCAGTTTTGTCCCGTGGATGTGGATATATGCTCGTATTTGGCTGTAAAATCTCCGCAACAGTTGGCGAACAGAAAGCTGTCCAGGTATCCTATAGTATCATAAATCACTTTGCAAGCCTGGATTTGTTTTAAGAGTGAGAAAAGTTTGCTGCCATCTAAGTAGCATCTTAAATCAATGCAAACCTGGACTTGTTTTCAGGTTGTGTAATGACTGCTGAAGCAGTTGAATATAAGATTATGAACAGATGTAAAGTCTAATGAGAGTACGTGGATTTTGCCTGAAAAAGGAGGATGGGCTTTTTGTGCCTGAAGTTAACTAATTGGTTTATACTTTAAAAATTGGCCGTATTTTTACAAAGTAAAATACTAAAAAGTAGCTCTTTTTACAATCTAGAATTCGGAAAAACAATAAATTAAGAAATAAGTTAGAAAATCAATTTTAGTGTCTTCTTTATGGCAATAAATTGATTAACATAAAGAATACACTAGTGAAATCCTCGTTTCTGAACGCTATCTTCTAATAGAGGACTTCTTATTTTGAAACTTCAAAGTTCAAACTTCAAACTATTTACTTAAAAGAAAAAGATAGATTTTCGATTCGATTTGAAACGAGCGCAATATAATGGATCCTCAATTAAATTGAGCATTTTAATATCCATTTTCGATTATTTTTCTGTGTTAAGGAGATGAAAATAATTGCGTAACTATCTACAAAACGTTAATAAAAATACAAAATATCTACAGTCCAACAAGTAAAAGTTACAACGACAATTCAAGTAACGATCACAGTTCTATATCCCTAAGATTCATTTCACTTAGTTGTTGTTGTTTTAACTTTCGTTAATCATTTTACCATTTCGTTTCATTAGTAACTACAGCTTTTTATGGTGATTTTATTCTAATCCTGCTTTTATATCTTTAAGTAGTTATAGTGAAAAATAGCCTATTACAGTGTAATAACAGTGGAAAATCAGCTGTTATAGTGTAGGTAAAAGATAATCTCACTTTTACTTTTTCTTCAATAACTCAGCTCCTAGATTGACAAATTTTGCCAGATTTTCAGCTATGAATTGTTTATATATACGCTTTCAAATGGTTCTACTTTCATCTTGTTAACACTTGTGCCCAAGAATGTATGGAAACGTCTCCTTCTCCTTTGTATATTAGTGTTCATTTACTTAAATATAAATCAAAAACTAAATTTAAATATCAGATCATACTATAACTTTTGAATTTGTGTGCCGTTTATATTTATAAGATGGTTCTAGCATCTCCCATAATCGATTCTTACGTCATCCAAGAAACGAATGGGGTAATGAATATTCTTGCATTACCAATATACTGCACTCACTAACGCTCCATATACAAGTTGTAAAATTAAAAATTTTGTACAATCGACTTCAATATAAATAAAATAAGAACATCGTCAATGTAGTCGAAGTCAGTAAAATACGCATTATTAAAGATAATTCAAAAAATCCTGTTCAGATCTTGATTAAATTTATATGGGACCACATGAGAAGCGCCCGCTGTTAAATAAAAAAAAGAACCATCAACATCAATTCACCTAGATAAATTTCCAAGGTAACCCTATGTGGGTTAACTGAAACTTAAAAGAAATAGTCGAACTACCTCCCCCTTCTTTTGAAGTCGACTAAAATGTCAAATTATTTCAAGATATCAAAAAATATAAAAAGGTTATAAATGGAATTTATTTTGTTCATTTATGGATTTGATTTTGTGTTTCGCCTCCTTCACACGGTGCTGTGTTACATATAAAAAATATTTAGAAGCATTAAATAGTACCAAAAATGAATAAAAATAAACATAGTATATCTATTCTAGATAATCTTTACCTTACATAGGCCTAATCATAATAACGGTTATGAGCGCCTATCCATTCGCCATTGCCAAATATCTGCTCCAACCCTACCCCACCTGCTTTTGGGGAGCTCAAAAAAGTATTAGGGGACTGTGTTCGTCAGGAGATAACGGATTTCAAAAAGAAAATGGCATCCCAAACACGGTCTACATATGCTCAGGCTGCAGCAACGGGCAGTCACAATAATACCATCTTGTCGAGTGGCAGGCCTGCACCGCCGCCTCCTCCAGTAACCAAGCCCGCCATTATCGTTTGTACCACTACAGATGCAAAATCAAGACAGGAGGTTATAGAAACTTTTAAGAAAAATATTAGCTATAGAGAATCGAATTATGCACCTTCTCGTATACAACCTGTGTCAAATAATAAAATTCGTATTGAGTTCGATAACCAACAACACTGTGATGACACTCTATTGCGACTGTAATATAAAAGTGAGATCATACTATTACTTTTGAATTTGAGTACCGTATATAAATATAAGATTTTTCTAGCATCTCCCATAATCGATTCTTACGTCGTCTACGAAACGACTGGGTAAAATTAAAAATTTTGTGCAACCGATTTCAATACAAATAAAATGAGAACATCATCAAGTCGAAGTCAATAAAATACGCATTATTAAATATAACTCAAAAATGCTGGCCAGATCTTGATTAAATTTATATGGGACCACATGAGAAGCACCAGCTGTTAAATACAAAAGGAATCATTGATAGAATTAGGCGTTACTTTGCGGAAGTTTATTATATTATGTGTTTATCAGAAAACACAGCATCGCTTATGAAGAAGCAGTGTATACTCACCCTTATATTGATACTTACTACCGTCTATTGTAGATCAATCCATAGATAATTTTGTCTATGGACTGCACCGCAAGAAGGGGATACACTGTTATATTAGTGTTCGGTGCCTGTTTGTGTAATTGCGTGTGTTACTCGCTGCCGTGTTAGATATATTTAAGTTGCGCTACAAAAGTACTACAAAGTTTTATTTAAAATGAGTGGTAACGCTGATTCTCCGCAACATGCTGGGGAAAAGGATGTGAACATTACGGATACGATAGAGGATGAACCGGACTCGTCTTCGTCGGGCTCATCGTCTCCATCTCGGTCCGAAAGTGGAAGACCACCTTGCAAAAGAAGAAATGTTAAAGAAGACCCACGAATAGTGGCCCTCATAAACCAGGTAGGATTTTTATCAAACATATACATGCAGAGTCTCGGTAGCTTGCAAAATAACCTACAAGATGTTAATGCCTATACTTGTGATAACTTTCTTACTATACCAAAAGAAAAGCCTATGCTTGATCTAGGTTCAATAGCCATCAATATTGATGAAAGTAAAATAATAAAAACTGCCCTTCCGGAGAGGGTTGAGAAAATAAAGATATTGCAACATATTGGCTTGTCCACATGGCAAAATGTAAGATATTCCAAGACTCTCCAAGAGTCTTTTATAGCTACCCCAGGATTCACTCAACTTAGGGTTAATGACGAATTGTGCCATCTAAACAAATCAAAAGATTATTTATCCGGTACTGAAAGTGTAATGGCAGCATTATCAAATGCTGTTTTTGAAAACAATGAATTACTCCGAGCAGGCTTACTGTCAGTAGTGGATTGGGCTGCTAAATCCCCAGAGGAATTAAATGCACCAGCACTTGCGCAAAAGATAAGCTCTGCTATTGGGAACGGCACAACCTTTAATAAAAATTCTGAAGATATCCTACAGGTTTTATGTGGTAAAAGAGCTGAATGCATTGAATCTAGAAGGGAGAAATTAATTAAAGAAGTGCCCAACAAATGTATTCAGTTGGCATTGAGAAATATTCCTCCATCTGAAAGTGTCTTATTCGATCAACCTAAATTAAATACCCTTATTCAAAATTTTGGTGACCCTACACAGTGGATTAAGTCGCTTACTTTAAAAGAAAATAAGAATAGTCAGGGTTTGGCTTTAAAGCGAAAAGGATCGGATCCTTCTCCTTACCCTTCCACTAGTACGGCTCCTAAGAAAACAAAGTTAGAATTTCCCCAGAGGAACACTGGTTACCAAAATTATAATTCCCATTACCAAAACGGCTCTTCCAGAGGCAAAAGAAAAGGCAGGTATGGGTAAAAAGTCATCCTTTCGCTCCCATGACAGAGATAAACAATGACTCGGAACGGGAATTCAGGGGGGGTCAATTAAAAGACTTCAGGGATCGATGGGAACAGCTCGGAGCTGCTCCCTTTATCCTAAAAGCAATATCAGGGTCCCGGATTCCTTTTATTCAAAGACCTGCACTGAGGTACCCCTCACCGACAGTAGCTCAGAGCTATGCAACAAAAGCTTCATCCCAGATGACTGTACAGACAAACGAACTGAAACGTATCGGAGTTTTAGAAAAGCCTTTGACTCCCGGTTTCTTCTCCCGCATTTTTCTTGTAAAAAAGAGTGATGGTGGCCTGAGACCGATTTTCGACCTTCGGGAGTTGAACAAGTTTGTAGGAACAAAGCATTTTCATCTTATAAGCCATACTAAGGTACCAGATTTCCTTTAACCTGGAGATTTGATGGTAAAGATCGACATTTCACAGGTATATTTCCACCTACCTATAGCAATGTCACACAGACTTTGAAGAATAAGAATTGCTTCAAAGGACCTCACTTCCATTTGGCCTATAATCAGCCCCAAGGCTTTTCTCTGCTGTAACTTGCTGGGTCGCGGAAACCCTACGAAAGAAAGGAATGCAGGTCCTAGTATACCTGGACGATTATCTTACAGTACACCAGGACCCTTCCAAGTTAGTATCACAGACTACGGAGGTGGTGAAGCTCTTGGAATTCCTGGGCTGGCAAGTAAATTTCAAAAAATCAATATTGACCCCAATGAGATCACTCGAGTTTCTAGGCATAAAATGGAATACAGACGAAAATGTAATGAGTCTTCCTGCCAAAAAGCAAACATCAATCTTGACTGCAATAACAAAAATATTAATAGCGAAATCCTGCCATCTTCGGCAATTACAATGCCTTCTAGGCCAACTAAATTTTGCATGTTATGTAATACTTCGCGGTCGACTTCACTGTCACCGTTTACAAATGTTTCTAAGACGATTCTCAGGGAATCAGGTAAGAACAAAAAGACCAGTCCCTCGGGGGGCAATCCTGGACTTACAATGGTGGCAGGGAGCCCTATCATTGACAACGCCTATTCACACAAAAAGTGTATCGCACTTCCTGACTACAGACGTCTCCGACATCGGATGGGGCGCTGTTCTGGACAAAAAGACCATATCAGGTTCATGGGCACCTTACCAGAGGCCCTGGCAATGCAACAAACAAGAGACGTTTGCCGTACTGTCTGTAATGAGCTTGAACGCAAAGAGGCTCAGAGACTCTCATGTGCTTTAACAAACAGACAACAAAACTGTCATGGCATATATTCGCAAAGACGGAGGAACGCATTCCATAGGACTCCTATCTTTAACTTTTCAGCTTCTGAAGATCATAGACAAGTGGAACATAACACTTTCAGCCCAATATCTCCCCGGCAGATACAATGCGATAGCAGACAGACTGTCGCGGAGACGTACTGTACCAGAATGGCATTTAAAACCTCGGGCAACATCAGAGGTATTCAAGCGATGGGGCAAACCAGATATAGACCTCTTTGTATCAGAAAGATCCGTTATAGTACCAAACTATATAACAATAGATTCACGACACGTGGAACTGTAAACTGGGATGGATATTCCCCTCACCAAACTTTATTCCGCGAGTACTCTCACATCTCAACAAGTCGAGAGGTACCTTCCTGTTAGTAGCACCAGATTGGGAGAAACCGTTTTAGACAGCGGATCTTCAGGCACGAACACTCGACAAGCCAATGATTGTGACCTCATTACAGGAAGTGTTAGTGGACCTCACAACAGGCCTTCCGCCTCAGGCAAGTAGACCGGCTAACCTTGAAGGTTTGGAAAATTTGGGGTGGGGAGATAAATGAGCAGATTGGCTCCAGGCGGAAAAAGATCTTCTTAAGTTAAGCTGGCGTCAATCTACTCTGAATACCTATAAACCAGCACTTAAGCGATGGATGACTTGGTGCACAACTAAAGAAATCAATCCGAAGTCTCTCAGACCAGAAGAAGTGGCACAGTTCCTAGCTGACACTTTTTTAAAAGAGGATCTGGCATACAGTACGATTTTGGTACAAAAATCAGCTGTAGCAACATTCTGTGGAATGAAGGATGACATATCCTCAAATTTTCTCGTAAAGCAGACACTTAAAGTTCTAAATCACTTAGTTTTAAATCGTCGGTGTGGGATGTAAAGCAAGTAGTAGACTGATTGTAGCAAAATCCAAAAGACGACTCACTATTTGAAATTGTAAGAAGAACTGCAACTATCTTGCTTTTGACATCTGGTCGTAGACTACACGATTTGACGTTATTGAGGATTAAAGAACCGTATTTTACTGACACTGGGCGAGAGATCTGCTTATGGCCAGTATTTGGAGATAAAACTGATAACGGTTCCAGGCGGCAGTCTGGTTGGAAGCTTTTTCCCAATGAGGACAGTAACTTATATCCAGTGAAATGGATAACACTCCTAATTCAGGCAACTAAGGAAAGACGAACTGACAAAATAGATGGACATGTGTTCATTTCTATCAGAGGTACTCCAAAACCTGCATCCAGAATAATGATAGGTGAATGGGTGCGCTATGTATTAAAGGATGCTGGAATAGATGCTACTCCTGGTTCTTGCCGATTTGCAGTAGCATCCCTAGCCTGGCTTGAAAACAGACCAATTGAAGACATTTTAGAGAAAGGCAATTGGACAGCTGCTCAGACATTAATGAATCATTATTGCCGAGAGATTAATGCATAGGAACGCGATAACGGAAATTATATTTTAGACAATTTTAAGCCTCTTTGTAACTATTATTACTTTTATATGGTTTCGTTTGATTGTGATTTATGATTAAGAATTAATTCTGATAGACACATAATACAAACGTTTTACACAACAACAAAACGATTATTATGTGCCGAAAGAAAACACAGCATCGCAGGAATGCCCTTCCTGGTGAAGACTGCAATGACACTAACAGGCACCGAACACTAATATAACAGTGTATCCCCTCCTTGCGGTGACAGTCCATAGCCAACATTATCTATGTATTGATCTACAATAGACGGTACTAAGTATCAATATAAGGGTGAGTACACACTGCTTCTTCATAAGCGATGCTGTGTTTTTTTTCGGCACATAATAATCTTTTTATTATTGTGTAAAACGTTTATATTAAAGATGGCAAAATATTATTTCGCGTACATCCGCTCGATAAAATAAAATGTTGTGTCTTACCTAGTTTGAAGTGCACCTCCCGCCCACCCTCAATTGCGTGCACTATCACCGTCACCACTGATTCCAGCACCAATACTCCCAACACCACTACACTAGGAAATACACACCACTGACTACAATACGAAACGTGTTTCGCCTCTACACGAGGCATCTTCAGGTAATCTAGACTCTGCGGTGGCTGAGAGCCAGAGAGCCAGCCTAAGAGCGGATGTACGCGAAGTAATATTTTGCCAACTTTAAAAAAGGAAACATCAAAATCATTTCACCTAGGAAAACTTCTGAGGTAGCCCACATAAAAACATTCGAATTACCTCCTCCTTCTTTTGAAGTCGGTAAAAATGTGAAATTATTTCAAGATATGAAAAAAATATGAAGAGATCATAAATGGGATTTGATTTTGTGTTTCGCCTCCATCACACCGTGCTGTGTTATATATAATACATATTTCGAAGCATTAAATAGTACTAAAAATGAAAAAAAAAACATAGTATATCTCTTCTACATAATTAATACCTTACATAGGCCTATTCATGGTAACGTTTATGAGCGCCTATCAACTCGCCATTGAGTTTAGCAGATTAACCAATAAGCTCCCACCCAATATATCTTCTTTAGAACATTTATTTAACGCGCCATTTTACCTGTATTTTGTAACTTTAACATACATCTCTAAACGTGTTTGAAATATTAATTTAGTAAAATTCACACATAATTATTTTAGTTAAGTGGCTGATTTTGTGCCTTCATCAAAAATTACCGCCATACTCCTTACCCGAACAAACTTCTGTCTGAAGTCGAGTCTTTGCTGAAAAAAGTCTTGGATTGGAGGTGAGTAAATCTAGTCCAGTTTAATCTTCAGAAGACACAAGTTTGTACGATTACCACTAAAAAGAACGCCACTGTCGTATCTCCTCAGTTTCAAGGCACTTAGCTTGTTGCCTAAGCCAGTATCGGAATACTCGGCGTCGACATAATGAGTGACGTGCAGTTTCGTGGTCACTTGAAAGAAAATGCCAAATTGGCCTATAAAAAGCTTGGTGTGCTCAGCAGAGGGGGACAGTATTTCTTGCACTTTACAAGGCGCAGGTTCGTCCTCACATGCAATACTGTTCCCTTCTCTGGACTGGGGCTCTCCAGAGGCAGCTCCTTTCACTTGATCGCATCCAGCGCAGAGCGGCTAAAATCGTCGACAACCGAGTCCCTTCCGATGGGCTCGATTCACTGGCGCTGAAGAGATGTTGCATCCCTTTTAATTTTCTTTCGCATCTCCCATGGGGAGTGCTCTGAGGAATTTTTCGAATTAATCCCAGCCGCCAAATATCACGAACGCACATCGTGGCAAAATTCCTTATACCATTCACACAATCTGGATGCTCAGCGACCCACCACTGTACGTTTCACTAGGAGTTTTCTTCCGCGTACGAACTCTCCGTGGAATAGCTTACCACCGGCAATTTTCCAGACCGATACGACTTGGGAGCTTCAAGAAAAGAGCTTACTACTCTCTAAAAGTCAGCTAACGCACCTGCAATTTCCCTGGTGTTGCAGTTGTTCATGGGTAGCGGTAGTCACTGACCATCAGGTGAGCCGTATGCTCGTTTTCCCCTATCCTATTAAAACATATACCCCTTAATATGCGCATTTCTCGTGTCCACTCAAGTAGTTCATGTAGGCTATCAAGATGCCAATAGAAAAAGAGTGCTGCGGTAGCCTGCAGATTACCAATATGATGGGATCCGTTTTGAGATCACGCACCTATTTTATGTACTCTTTTATGTCTCTTGATCATTGTTGTCATTACAACTTTTAACAAGTCCACTGATAGGCCTTCCCCAAGTAATGTCATTCACGATCCTGAATCACATGTACCTATCGACTTCCTGCATGTTTTTTCAGGTTATTACTCCATCTTGTCTCTTATCTTGTATATTTATCAATGAAAATTTGTATTTCTCATAACTTTATTATAAGCTTACAATTTTTTATTTCATAACATTAGTGCTACACTGCAGTATACAAAAGCAACGTTGGTAACTCGCAAATAATATTTAAATAATATCTATTCCGCAAGCCCTGAAGCAGCTCCATTTGACCTAAAAAATGTTAGCCATACATTATCCTTACTTATTGTTAGCAATTTAGATATTCTTATTTAAATTTCTTCATAAAACCCCACACGACTGTCGTAAAAGTCTACTAAATTCTGATATTATAAGTCAACATGTACTCTTATCTACATCTTAGTTTATGCTTCTTTAGGATACAAAAGCATTTACAGAATTCTTATTTTGCACAGCAAATTTGCAAATTCATGTATTTGGTTTTCTTTTGTCCGTGGAAACTTATTGTATAAACCTAACTAAGCAGTTAATTTAGATAACAATAGAACATAGCCAAAAATACTGTATCTTACCTAGTGTTTTTTTAATATGTATCTTTTATAAAGTTTGCTTAGGTCCAGTTCTCTAAATTCTGTAAATTGTATTAATTGATTATGATATTTGCTAGTAAAGCGTTCAGCGTACGGCTTATCCCCTGGCCTAATTGTCTGGATGAAGGACTTTCTGAATGAACAGCCTCTCCGGGTCGTCGTTGATGGCTGCTCATCGGATACTGTGGCAACTAACGCACCGGCGGTCCCTCAGGGGTCCGTTCTCTCCGCAACTTTTTTCCTGCTGCATATAAATGATCTGCTCGTTCCCGGTGTCTATGGGTATGCAGACGACATCACAGTTGTGGAAAGATACCAAGCAAGCACCCGAGCCAGCCGGGATCAAATCCAGTCAGAAAGCGAGGCTATGGTTGAGCGTGTGAGTCTCACACTACAGGCAGTCTCCGAATGGGGCGATGTCAATCTAGTGCGATATAACGCCTCCAAAACACAAGCTTGTCTTGTTACCGCTAAAAGGAGCCTGCTCACCTTGGTTCCTACTTTCCGGAATGTATCCTTGGAGTACACTGACTGCCTTCAGTTGTTAGGGATTGAATTTTCTCCGAACCTAAACTATGGGCGGTTCATTGAGTCCAGAGCCAAAGCAGCCGCAAGCAAACTTGGTGTTCTTGCAAGGGTGCGGTGGTACTTCACGCCGGGGCAGCTTCTTACCTTATATAAAGCGCAAGTCCGGTCGTGCATGGAGTACTGCCGTCACATATGGGCTGGTGCTGCAAAATGCCACCTGGCAGCATTGGACTCAGTGAAAAGACGTGCTAAGATGCTCATTGGTGACCTTGATTTAGTTAAAACCAATCTTGTCAGCCTCAAGCACAGGCGTAGAGTAGCCAGTCTCTCGGTATTCTATAGGATGCATTTCGATAAGTGTGCGCAGGAATTACACGCCTTAATTCCTCCCTCTCCTTTCCACCATCGG